AAGAAATGGAGAAAAGAAAGCGGCGGGCGGGCGGCGGTGTTGTGGCTGCGCTGTTTGGATTGTCTCAGCCTTTTCCTGGCATCAGGCAGCACTGCTGACGGCCAAAGGGGTGGGAGAAGGAGGAGGGAAGGGGGGGGAAATGAAAAAAAGAATAAAAATAATAAAGATGGGCGAATGCTTGGAGGGCTCCGCAGGGCCCGGGATGCGCCGTGCGCCGGGGTCGGGAGGAAGGATGCTCCCATGGCTGCTGAGCTCAGCGTCTGTGCGTGTATTTTTAGCCCAGGGCCAAGCGGGGCTGTCAGCGGGGTGGTGGCCGTGTCACAGCCCCACAGGGATGGGGAGCATCTGCTTCAGGCCGTCCCCAGCCCTGCCGCCCTGTGACGGAGCCCCGGGGGTCCCCGTGAGCAGGGATGTGCCGCTGTGGTTGTGGGTTACAGCATTTGGGGACGGCCGTGCCTCAGTTTCCCCACGTCTCAACCCCTTTTTCCCTCTCCCAGATTCCGAGCAGAGCAGCAGTCCCCGGACGGGCATCGCCTCAGACCAGGAGGACACCAAGCCCAACACGCTGGGTAAGAGGGGACGCAGTGGGGACCCACGTGGGGTGCCAGCACCCTGATCTGTGGGGCGTTTGGGGACACGGTGGGGACACGTCACCCTGCTCTACGGGGCGTGCATCCCATAGCAGCTTAGCAGCTGACCGGGGATCTTGGGTGCAGCACGGACACATGTGGAAGGGGTGGGGGATGGGGCTCTGCCTCTTCTGGGTGCACAGGAGGAGATGTGGGTGCACAGGGCGTCGTGGGAGCCCCCACTCACGCTCTCCCCTCCCAAACACAGACTCCACAGACTTCCAGGAAAGCTTCGTCACCTCGGGGGTGTTCAGTGTCACCGAGCTCATCCAGGTGTCCCGAAGTGAGTGCCATCCCGGAGCCCCTTCCCCGGCACCCACCCTGCCGGTGCCGCCCTGGGGTGTCACTGTGCCCTTACCGATGTCATCCTCTCCCCACAGCGCCGGTGGTGACGGGCACGGGCCCAAATTTCTCCCTGGGGGAGCTGCAGGGCCACCTGGCCTACGACCTGAACCCCTCCAGCACGGGCATGAGGAGGACGTTGCCCAGCACCTCCTCCAGCGGGTGGGTGCCGCCGGGCGGCGCGGGGGCGATGCCGGGACCGGTCCAGGCACGGCTGTGTGGGACGGCATGGGCACGTCGGGTCCTGCCGTGTGCTGCCAGGCTGCCTGCACTGTGGGGTGGGTGGGGGGAAGCTGGGGGGGTGGGCTGCTGCACTGCTGCTTTGGTACCGTGCAGCCATTTGGGTACCCTGGCACGGTTTGGTACCCCGATATGGTCTTGGCAACGTGGTTCTGAAACCTGACGCAGCTTTGACATCCCAGAATAGTTTCAACACTCCGGTGTGTGGGTTTGGCAGCCCAGTATTGGGTTTTGCGTCCCGCCACCATTTCTTGCACCCCATCATGGTGTCAGCACCCCAGTGTGGTTTCTTCACCCCGGTGCTGTGTCAGCATCCGGCCGTGGGTTTGCATCCCAGCGCAGTTTTGCACCCCAGTGTGGTTTTGCCACCCTCTCCCCTCCACTGTTGGGTTTCGCACCCCAGGATGGGTTTTGCTCTGCACTGTGTGTTCACACCCTACCAGATTTTAGCACCCCAGATGCAGGGCTCGAGGCGCATCCCCATGGTCACAGCACGTCCCAGTGTCACCCCGGGGTTGGGGACCGTGGCACGCGGGCAGGATGGGCTCCGTGTGGCCGCCTCCCTTGGGGTCACCCTGCTGATATCCCAGCAGCCCCATAGCGTGGCAGGGGATGCTGACCTCTGGCTGTTCTCAGGAGCAAACGGCACAAGTCTGGCTCCATGGAGGATGACATCGACACGAGCCCCGGCGGCGAGTATTACACCTCGTCCAACTCACCCACGAGTAGCAGCCGCAACTGGACAGAGGACATGGAAGGGGGTGAGTGTGGGGCTGCCCCCTGTGGGGCTGCCGTGTGGCACGGCGGGTCGGGGCTTCCTTGCACAGGCTGTGGTGTTGCTGCAGGGCAGCGGAGGAGCTCTGTGTTGGTGCAGTGCTATGGGGCCCTTGGGGCAGAGGTGCTGCCAGCCCCCCACTGGGACACAGACCCTCTGTAGGTGTCGTGGGGCTGCTGTGGGATCCCCCCAATTAGACACTGACCCCCTATAGGTTCCTTGGGGCTGCTGTAGGATCCCCCCAATTAGACACTGACCCCCTATAGGTTCCTTGGGGCTGCTGTAGGATCCCCCCAATTAGACACAGACCCTCCATAGGTGCCATGGGGTTGCTGTAGGACCCCCCATTTCCTATAGGATCCATCCCATTTAGACACAGACCCCAATAGGTGCTATGGGGTTTCCTTGGGACCCCCCCATTTAGGCACATGCTCCCTATAGGGCCAGCCCCACAGCAGCCTCTCCCAGCCCCACAGCTGCCGTTTGCACTGCGGACAGATTTCTTTCTTGCTTTGCTTTTTTTTTTTTTTTCCTTTTTTTTTTTTCCCTTTCCTGTCTAGACAGCCCCAATTAGCTGTTCATTAAGAAAAGGGGGGGCTGGGGTGGGTTGGGCTAATTAAAGCGATGCTGCGGGGCTGGCACGGCGGCTCCCACGCCCTGGGGCACCTTATGGGCAGCTGAGCCCCCCCTGCTTTCATCTCCCCCCCCATCCCACACCCCAATGGTAGGATGGGATCCACACCCCACGGACCCCATCCCACAGCTGTGGGGTGCCTGGGGAGCAGAGCAGGGGGCACAGAGCCCATCGGAGAGATGAATGGGATTTTGTGTGCTGTGGGAGAAAAACCCTTCCCAATGGGGTTTTCATCCCAGAGTGGTATTGTCCTCTTGGTGATGTTCTCAAGTGCTTGGGGTCTGTTCCCCAGTGCCTGCTGTAGGTCACTGTGCTGCCCCACCACAAGCTTGGCTGCCCTAAATGTGGGGTCAACCCCACAGCAGCCCCCAGACCCCATATGGGTGCCCATAGCAGGGCACTGTGTGCTCTGTGTTCGGAGAACTGTGCCCCATATGGACTGTGCCCTATGAGGAGCAGCGACTGTGCCCAACATGTGCCAGGGTCTGTGCTCCCTGTGGACCAGGCTCTGTGCCCATATGGGCTGGAGATTGTGCCCTATACAGGCCGGGGCCTGTGACCCAAAGAGTGATGGGCTGTGCCCCATACAGAAGATGGTCTGTGCCCTATATGGCCCTTTAACTGTTCCCCATGTATGCCAGGCACTCAGCCCTGTGTGTACCAGGGATTGTGCCAAATATTGGTCAGGGATTGTGCCCCAAATAGGCTGCGGTCTGTGCCCCATATGGGCTGGAAATGGTGCCCTTTATAAACCAGGAACTGTGCCCCATATGAGCCAGGGTCTGTGCCCCATATGGGCCGAGGGCTGTGCCCTATGTGGACCAGGAACACTGCTCCATATGGGCTGGGAATGGTGCCCTATATGAGCTGTGCCCCTTATGAGCCAGGGGCTGCGCACTATACAAACCAGACTCTGCGCCCCCAGCCTGAGGCCGTGTCATGAGGCCACGGAGGGGGCAGGAGGAGGTTGGCAGTGGGCTGATCCCATTGGGAAAGGGGGGGCAGCGGGACGTGCTCGGCGTGGTGGGCTTTACAGCAATCCTGTACTGGATGTTCCGGGAAATCCTCCTAACGCAGCGACTCAGACAGCACTAAACCCATTAGCAGCACCAGGGCCAAATGGCCGCGGCTAAAGCTGGGGGGATTAACCACCCACCCACCCCCACGGTTCAGGAAGCCAGCAGTGAGCCCCCACGTCCTGCCCCACATCGGGGCTCTGCGGGTGCCCACAGCGCCGTGGGGAGGGCGTGAAGCAAACACGGTGCACGTGCACGGACATATTGGTGCACAGTGACGTGCACAGCAGCGTGCTGGTGCACAAACGTGGTGAGCTCAGGGTCTCCGGCACACGGCCGTGCACACACACTGGTGCTGCTGCACAGCCACGCGCAGCCGCCCAGATGCACACGCAGCGTCGCACACCTGCCCCGATCTTTGCACGCGCACACGCACAAAGGTGCACAAGTGCAAAACACGGCTGCAAGCAGCTGCTGCAAACAAACGAGGCTGCACGCACAGCCCCCCCGTAGCACCCCGGCGCCGTGGGGCGCTCGGCCCCTAACACCACCACCCCCCCCCCCCGGCCCCCACAGGCATCTCCCCCAACGTGAAGACAGAGATGGACAAATCGCCCTTCAACAGCCCCTCGCCGCAGGACTCCTCACCCCGCCTGAGCAGCTTCACGCAGCACCACCGTCCCGTCATCGCGGTGCACAGCGGTGAGCCGGGGCTGTGGGGTGACGCGGGACCCCCGTGGGGTGACACGGGACCCCCGTGGGCTCTCGGTGACGCCGTCCTCCCCCTTCACCCCTCGTCCCTGTTCCACCCGCAGGTATCGCTCGCAGCCCGCACCCTTCATCCACGCTGCATTTCCCCACCACCTCCATTCTCCCCCAGACGGCCTCCACCTACTTCCCGCACACGGCCATCCGGTACCCGCCTCATCTCAACCCGCAGGACCCACTGAAAGATCTCGTCTCGCTGGCCTGCGACCCGTCCAACCAGCAGCCTGGACCGGTAAGGCTCCCACATCCCAGCGCCGCTCCCACCGCAGGGACACGGCCACCCCAGGGGGACGCAGCCATCCCTTGGGGACACGGCCATCCTGTGGGGACGGGGGAACCAAGAACCATCATCAGCGCGTGGCCGTGGGGATTTGTGGTGTCGCCGCACGGGGATGTGGGGTGCGATGCGGTGGGGACGTGGGGTGTGACGTGGTGAGCTGCTCCGCGGGGTGCCGGCACCCGGCGCTTGGGGTTTTGTGGCCCCAAATGAGCGTCGGCATTGGTTTGGTGCAGAAATGGAGTCGGCGCTTTGGTGGTTGGTGATGAGGTTGTGGGGCTGAGCCGTCACGTGGAAAGGGGGTGGGTTGTTGGGGGGTGGGCTGTGGGTGTGAGCGTCTGCAGAGAGGCACCGTCCTGGAGCTCCCCGTGCCCCGTCGGTCGGTGCGCCCTTGCAGCAGTTGGGGACCCGTCGGTCCGCGCCGCATCCTGCTGGGGGAGTCCTGGGGGAGAGGGGGGGTCCCGGGGACGGGGGGGGTCCTGCTGTGCGCCCGTCTCTGCCCCCCGCACATCCAGCATGCCGTGCACCGAGCGCCCTCTGCACAAACCGGCTCCCCGTGCGCCCAGCATGCCTCAAACCCAGCGTCCTCCGTGCTCCCGGCGCACCGGCAGCCTTCACGCCCCGCACCGTGCGCAGCTACCGCGCCGCGCAGCCCGCGGCCCCGGCCGTGCTGCTCGGGTGTAGCCAAGCACCCTGAGCTGTGGGGCACGAGCATCTGTGTGCCATGCATCCAGCGTCCTGCGCGCCCCATGCACCGTGCACACGGCGTGCCTTTCGCCCAGCACTGCGAGCGTCCCCTGCACCCCTCACCCCGTGCACCCAGCACCCCGTGCACCCCAGTCTCCCATCACCCTGCCTACCTGGCACTCCGTGCATCCTATGCATTGTGCACCCAGCACCCCGTGCACCCCACGCACTCCTCACTGTGCACTCTGTGCATGCAGCAGCCAGTGCATCCCATTCTCCCATCACCCCATGCACCCTGTGCACCATGAACCCAACACCCCCATGCTCCATGCATCACTCACGCTGTGCACCCAGCACGCTGTGCACCATGCAGACTGCACCTCATGCACGCCATGCACCACACACCCCATGCTTCCTGTGCACCATGCACCCAGCAGCTCAGGCACTCCATGCACCCAGCACCGTGTGCACCGTGCACCAGGCACCCCTTGCACCCTGTGTACCCGGCACCATTTGCACCATGCACCCAGCACACCATGCACCTCGTGCACCCAGCTCCCTGCACCACGCTCCCTTTGCACTGACACCAGTGGTGACCTCCATCTCTGCAGCACCCTGAAAGACCTGCGTACCGCAGCTCCGTCACCAAGCACAGAGGGTCCTGGGGACCCCCCCGCTCAGCCTCCCCGGGGTCTGACACCACGGTGTGGGGCACAGCCGCCCTTCCCATGCGGGGTCAGGCCGGATCGAGGCCGGCACTGTGATCCCCCCACCCTGTGACCCCCAGGTGGGGTTTCATCGGCGCCGTCAGCTCTGAGACCCAGCAAACTCGTGCCACCGAGGGCCGCGCCGCCCTCCCTAATGCCTTTGTGCTGTTTTTTGTGTTCTGTGTCTGTGTTGTGTCCCCAGTTAAATGGAAGTGGTCAAGTGAAAGTGCCCAGCCACTACCTGCCCACGCAGATGCTGGCACCGCCACCTCCCCCCGGCATGCCCCGCTTGGCCGTCTCTCCTGACACCAAATCAGCCACGACAACTTCGGAGGGAGGGACGACCTCACCGACATCACCCAGTAAGCACCCCCGCGGCGCCCGCCCACCCGCCGGCCCCCCAACCTCCTCCGGGATGCGTGCCACGAGTTTGCCAGGTCTCGGGCAGGGCGACCAAGGGCGCACGGCGCCCCGTTCTTCCCACCCCCTGGGGGGGTGTGGGGTTCCAAGTTGGTCCCTTGGACCGGCAGGAGCCTCGTGGCCCCCCCTGGGAGGCCGGCGGAGCAGGAGAAGGCGGCGGAGCCGTGAGCCCAGGCTGCGCCTCTCCGTGCCTCGGTTTCCCCAGCGGTGCTGCGGGGACGGTGCGGCGCTGGGCTCGGGGGGGGGCCCATATAGCAGGGTCCCCACCGGCTGCGGGGTGATGCTGGAGCGGGAGGGCTGGCCAAGCCCCCCCCGGATGTCAACACTGTGCTTCGTTAGCGGTGGCGGCTAATGAACTCAGCCCCCTGTGCTCTGTTCCTGGGGATTTCAATGCGTGGGGCTGCGGGGGTTTCAGGAGCGTGGTGGCGGTGGGGAACGTCCCCGTGTCACTGCACCAAGGGGGCACCACCGGGGGCCAACAGCCGGAGCGTGGGTGCTGAGCGTTGGTGGCGTTAACGTTTCGTGGTGGGATGTTTCAGCTCGTGGCCTGAGATCAACCACGGCCTCGGGGAGGGGGCTGGGCAGTGCCAGTCCCCCCCAGGCACAGGCTGGCTGTCCCGAGGGGACACGGAGCCCGCTGTCACCACCTCCATGGGGTCCCGTTGCCGGACCCCATCCCATGGTGGGCGCTGCGTGGCACTGTGCCCAGCGGCCGTGCCGTGGGGCCGGGCCCATCACCCAGCTCAGGGTGCCTGGGACGCCCATCCCTGCAGCGGGGGGTTGATGGCATTGCCACCCACAGCGCCGTTAATCAGCTCTCGTTTGTTCCCCAGCCTACTCTGCACCAGGCACGCCCCCTGCGAACCGTTCCTTCGTGGGATTAGGACCAAGGGATCCTGGGAGTATCTATCAGGCACAGGTGAGATGGGGCGGGTGCTGGGGGGACCCTGCTGCCTTCGCCCTGTGTGGCATCAGTGTGAGCGTCACCGCCGTGGGCACCGTGCTGTGGCAGTGCTGCAGCGGGCATTGCTGACTGGACCCTGCAACAGGGGGGCCTTGCAACAGGGGGCATCACTGCTGTGGTGCTGCAGCTGTGGGCAGTGCAGTAGTTGGATAGCACTGCCTTGGTGCTGCAGCTGTGGGCACTGCAGCAGTGAGCATTGCTGCCGTGGTGCTGTAGCTGCAGGCATTGCAGCCTTGGCGGCACTGCCATGGTGCTGCAACCTTGGGCATTGCAACTGTGGGCTTTGCAACCATGGTACTGCAGCTGTCATTGCAATAGTGGGCATCACTGCCTGGTGTTGCTGCTGTGGGCTTTTGCTGCCATGGTGCTGCAACCATGGGCATTGCAACTGTGGGCTTTGCAACCGTGGGCATTGCAACCATGGTGCTGCAACTGTGGGCATTGCAGCTGTAGGCATTGCAGTAGTGGGCATCACTGCCGTGGTGCTGCAGCTGTGGGCATTGCAGCTGTGGACGTTGCAGTAGTGGGCATCATTGCTGTGGTGCTGCAGCTGTGAACACCACTGCTGTAGAGCTGCAACTGTAAGCACTGCACCGGCAGGCATTGCTGCTGTGAGCGCTGCACCGATGCCATGGCATCGCAACCGTGGTGTTGCTGCCGTGGGCATCAGCACTGCGCTCTTGCAGACGTGGCATTGGCACCATGGGCATCGTGGTGTCACCAAGGCATCACTGCCTCAGGCACTGCAGCTGTGGCACTGCCACCACGCTGTTACTGCTTCGGGCAACGCCGCGCCGCCAGGCGGGCAGCAGCACTGCAGGCACTGCAGCCGTGGGGATTTGGGCTGTGGGCATCGCCGCCGTCCGACCGCCGCCGTGGGCACAGCCAGCACTGTGAGCATCGTCACCATTGTCACTGCAGCGTCCCCAGCGTGGGCACAGCCATAGCAGGGGGTCTCCAGGTGACCCCCCCCTTGGCCACGTCCCCCGTCCCACTGCAATACAGCCACGGCCCCGTGGCATCACTGGGCACAGGGACGCCCCCACTGAGCAACGTGCCACCCCCAGCGGGTCCCTGCAATGACTCTGGGTGTCTCCATAGCTGGGTGTGAGATTGAGGGGGGGGGACACGTTGGGGAGCGGGGATCGGCTGAGACCCGGCGCGCTCGGTTCATGTGTGGAGGGGCCAGGAAGGGTTAAGGGAAACGGAGGCCCCCGAGCTGTCTCGTTGCCAACGGAAACCAGACATGAGGTCATCGGGGATGAACTTGGACTTGGGGAGGCTGGAGACAATGGGAGAGCAGTGGGGGGCCCCCCCCCCCCCGCCCCACCCCTGAGGAGCTGGGGACAGCGCTGTCCCCAAGGGGAGAACCCTGGGGGTGTCACCGCAGCGCCTTGGTGGGGTGAAGCCATCCCCAAAATCGCCGTGGGGAGGTGGGGGGGGGGTGGTTTGGGGCACGGTGGCCCCAAAATGGGGATTTGCTCGGTGGGGTGGCACTGGTGGGGACAGTGTGGGGTGGTGGGGACCCGTCTTGCTGCTGGCAAAAGGGAAAGCTGGGCAGGGGATGTGGGGACATGGAGGGGCACAGAAATATGGGGACATGGGGACGTGGAGGGGACACAGTGATGCGGGGACATGGAAGGACACAGTGACAGAGGGGCATGGTGACATGGATGGGCAGAGAGATATGGGGACATGGAGGGGTACAGTGATGTGGGTCTTGGGGGTGTGGGGACACTGAGGAGCACAGTGACATGGGGATGTGGGGACATGGCGGGGCACAGAGATATGGGGACGGGGAGGGTCAGAGTGATGTGGGGATTTGGGGACGTTGAGGAGCACAGTGACATAAGGGCATGGAGACGTGGAGGGGACACAGTGACATGGAGGGGCATAAATACAGGGACTTGGGGACTGTTGAGGAGCACGGTGACATGGGCATGTGGGGACATGGAGGGGCACAGTGACATGGTGACATGAAGGGTCACAGTGATGTGAGGTCTTGGGGACGTGGGGATGTGGATGAACACGGTGACATGAAGGGGCACAGGGATGCAGGGACATGGAGGGACTTGCAGGGGCACAGGGATGTGGGGACTTGAGGTCATGCGGATGTGGATGAGCACGGTGACACGGGGACATGGAGGGCTGCGGTGACTTGAGGACGTGGAGGGGTGGAGTGGCATGGTGACGTGGAGGGGGCACAGCGATGTGGGGACCGGGGGACGTGGAGGGGCACACGGTGACATGGGGCGCAGCGTCATGGGGATGCGAAGGTGGCGCGGTGACCTGGGGACGTGGTGACATGGAGGGGGGCACGGTGACGTGGGGATTTGTGGACGTGGGGGGGGGGGGGGGGGCCCCCACGGTGACACGGAATCGCGAAGGTGGCACGGGGACACGGGGACACGGTGGCACGGCGCGGGAGCTCCTGGATGCGCAGCAGCCCCAGCACGGCTGGTCGCGGGCTGCCAGCGCAGCGGGGCCGGCAGCACGGGGGACAGGAGATGTGGCCCAGCGCCGCCGGGTGAGGGCGTCCATCCCCCCCTCCGCCTCCACTCGGGGCTGCAGCACTAACGCCGCCTCTCCTTCTCTCTGCAGTCCTGGTACCTGGGATAGCGCGGCCGTGCCACCCTTCGCTCCCTTCTCCTCTGCTTTAGGCACCCTGAGAGGACCCCCCCCCCCCC